CCAACAAAACCTGTCGTTATTGCAAGAAATTTGGGCATGATATCTCCGACTGCTTTATCTTGAAAAAGAAACAAGAAAGGCAAGAAAAAGGTAAAAATCCTGCTGAAGCTGCTAATGTTGAAACTGATTCTGATGGTGATGTTATGATATCTGTCTCTTCTGATAAGAGGAGCAAAACTGAATGGATTCTTGATTCTGGATGTACATTTCATATGTGTCCTTATAAGGACTTATTCACCACTCTTGAACCTGTTGATAGTGGTGTTGTCTTGATGGGTAATGACACCCAATGCAAGATTGCAGGAATAGGTACTATTCAGATCAAGACTCATGATGGCACTATCAAGACTCTTTCCAATGTTCGCTTTATTCCTGACTTGAAGCGAAATCTAATTTCTCTTGGCACCCTAGAGTCTCTTGGGTGCAAGTATTCAGCTGAAGGTGGAGTTCTAAAGGTATCAAAAGGTGCTATTGTTTTATTAAAAGCTAACCGTATTGGTAGTTTGTATATCTTGCAAGGATCTATAGTGACAGGATCAGCAGCTGTCTCATCTTCTATGTCTGATAAAGATGCCACCAAATTATGGCACATGCGCCTGGGCCATATGAGTGAAAAAGGCATGCACCTTCTGAGCAAGCAAGGTCTCCTTGGTAATCAAGGCATCGGTAAGTTGGAGTTTTGTGAACATTGTGTCTTTGGGAAGCAGAAAAGAGTTAGCTTCTCCACTGCAACTCACCGCACAAAAGGTACCCTTGATTACATTCATTCTGATCTTTGGGGTCCTTCTAAAGTTCCATCTTATGGAGGATGCCGTTATATGATGACTATTATTGATGATTTTTCTCGTAAAGTCTGGGTCTATTTTCTAAGGCACAAAAATGAAACATTCCCCACTTTTAAGAAGTGGAAAACTCTTGTTGAAACTCAGACAGGAAAGAAAGTCAAGAAGCTCAGAACGGATAATGGATTGGAGTTCTGTGAAGGTGACTTTAATGAGTTCTGCGCAAATCATGGTATTGCTAGACACAAAACCATTCCAGGTAAACCCCAGCAGAATGGTGTTGCAGAACGTTTAAACAGAACTATCCTTGAGAGAGCTCGTTGTATGCTCTCAAATGCTGGGTTATGGCATCAACGTGAGTTGTGGGTCGAGGCAGCATCTACAGCTTGCTACTTGATCAACCGATCTCCACACTCTTCACTTAATTTCAAGATTCCAGAAGAAATTTGGTCAGGTAATCCTATTGATTATTCTAATTTAAGAATTTTTGGATGTCCTGCATATGCACATGTTAATGATGGAAAATTAGCTCCTAGAGCTATTAAGTGCATATTTCTTGGTTATGCATCTGAATCTAAAGGTTATCGTTTATGGTGTTCTGAGTCTAAGTCACGAAGATTAATTCTTAGTAGAGATGTGACTTTTAATGAGGATGCATTATTATCTTCTGGAAAACAATCATCTGTGTCTTCTTCCAGTACTAATAATCTGCAAGGTACTAGCGAGAAGGTGGAGTTAGAGTTAAAATCTGTAGCTCCTAATGTTGATGTTCCATCTTCCTCTACCACTGAGTCTAGCATTGATGATCATGGTGATGATCATCCTATTCAGCAACAGGAAGAATATAATATTGCACGAGATAGGACAAGAAGACAGATAAAATTGCCAGCTAGATACACTGATGACAATTTGACTGCTTATGCATTGTCAATTGCACAAGAGGTAAATGATGATGTTGAACCTGCCAGCTATAGTGAAGCTGTTTCTTGTGTTGATTCTGCTAAGTGGCTAGTGGCTATGAATGAAGAAATTGAAAGTCTTCACAAGAACAACACTTGGAATTTGACAAAGCTCCCCAAAGGCAAACGACCTCTAAGGTGTAAATGGATCTATAAGAAGAAAGATGGCATTCCAGGGGTTGAAGATCCTAGATGCAAGGCGCGATTAGTCGTTAAAGGCTTTTATCAAAAGGAAGGTATTGACTTTAATGAGATTTTCTCACCTGTTGTTCGTCATACTTCCATTCGTATTTTGCTTGCTTTTGTTGCTCTGTTTGATTTAGAATTAGAGCAACTTGATGTAAAGACAGATTTTCTACATGGAGAGATGGAAGAAGAAATTTATATGGATCAGCCTGAGGGATTTGTTGTTTCTAGTAAGGAGCATCTTGTTTGTCAATTAAAGAAATCTTTATATGGCCTCAAGCAAGCACCCAGACAATGGTATAAAAAATTTGATTCCTTTATGATTGGGCAAGGTTATTCCAGGAGTAAATATGATGATTGTATTTATTTTCAACAATTTCCTGATGGAACTTTCATATACTTGTTACTTTATGTTGATGATATGTTGATTGCATCACGTGACAAGTCTTTGATCAGCAAATTGAAAGCTCAACTCAATAATGAGTTTGAGATGAAGGAATTAGGTGCAGCTAAGAAAATTCTTGGCATGGAGATTCATAGAGATCGACAAGTTGGTAAATTATTCTTATCTCAACAAAAATATATTGAGAGATTACTTGACAGATTTAATATGAATAATTGTAAACCTGTTTCTACTCCACTTGCTGCACATTTCAAGTTATCTTCAGACCTTTGCCCACAAACAAAAGAAGAGATGGAGCGTATGTCACACGTTCCATATGCTAGTGCAGTTGGCAGTTTAATGTATGCTATGGTGTGCACTAGACCTGATTTAGCATATGCTGTTAGCATGGTGAGCCGATACATGCATAATCCTGGAAAGGATCACTGGAGTGCTGTAAAATGGATTTTTCGGTATCTTAAAGGTACTAGTAATATTGGCTTGGTGTTTGACAGAAACAAAGCTACAAATAATAATGTTGCAGGTTTTGTTGATTCGGATTATGGTGGTGATATTGATAGAAGAAGATATATTTCTGGATACATTTTTAATATATGTAATTATGATATAAGTTGGAAAGATTACATTAA